GCATTACAGTGACATGTTATCAGAAAACAATAACTAAACAAATAATAGAAAATATATATTGAAAAAAATCTGTAACACAACTTACAACTAAATTTATAGAACATGTTGCTAAAGGCCAAATTTACCAGAACAAACTTTAAATTGAAGAACTGTGCTAAACTAAACAGAAGAAACTATTTGTGTCATCATCTACTTGGGCTGAAAAACTATCAAATCAAATGAGTGTTTTTATACTATGCTTATTTCAGTTTTAGATTTTACCACTGATATCACTTTTAAAACGTTTTCAGGATTTGCACTCATTAAGCTACAGTTGTTTTAGTTGGTTCATCTTTATTTAATTAGACTTATAATCATTAGTATTTGCACTTTTGTTTAAYTTTTTCCTTTGTCAATACTGTGACATTTTAAGTGGAAAAGTAAGAGTCCAAATAAAAATCCCTTCAGCAGAATCACCTCAGAAAAAAAAGTTTATTGTTGGATCAACTAGATTCCAGCAGAGAGCAGCAGAGACCTGGCAACAAAAGCTAATCCCTGTTACAAGGAAAAAAAAACTTGTTTAAAATTTTTTATTGGTTCTAAAACTACTCACTTCGGTTTTGTTACCAAAAAATAAATAAATAAAACATTGCTCAGCACTTCCACAGACTCCTTCAGACGAGACATGTTCCTAATGAAGTTTCAGGAATCAGCACTGCAATGTTTTAAAAATAATATACTTCCGGTTTCTCTATWACTGATTAGTGCACCTTTTCAGCTTGTCACATGTGAAACTGCTGAATTATCTAAATGAAAGTCCTATATTTGCATACTTTGTGTGTGTGAATGTGAGTAAATATGTGTTTTGTTGTAAATTTAAGTTAAATGTGAATTCATATTTTTGAATATGTTGAATGACTTTTCACAAAATGTTTMTTTGTCAAGACAAAAATGTTTCATACAGCTCTAACATTTTTTAGATGCTTTATTTTACATTTCGGATGGACATTCAAGTCCACAGTAAAACAAATGTTTCAGTCCACCAGAATATCTACCAAAAGAAGGGCTTTTATCTAGAGTGGACACGCTGATGGCTTTTCAGATGTGCTGACTGGGTGAATCTCTTCTCACAGTGGGTACAGGCGTAAGGCTTCTCTCCAGTGTGGACACAAAGGTGAACCTTCAGATTGCTTGAACTGATGAATCTCTTCACACACTGTGTACAGAAGTACTTTCTTTCACCAGTGTGCTTGGGTTTATGTACTTCTAAATCCCGTGAGGCTCCAACACATTCTTCACTCTGGTCGCTGCAGTGAGGTTTAACTAGAGTTTTGATTGAATCAATCAGCAGTTCCTGGACAGAACATCTCCATCAGGGTCTTCAGGTTCTTCTTTGACTGTACAAGTCTTTTTCAATGGCACACATACAAAAAAAAAAGAGGTGAAAATCAGATTTTGATCAAATGTTCATAGTACAGCACTCAGCAGGCCTCAGTGTAAGACCTTGGGCTGAATCAAAACAAAACAGGAGCCCAGAGGCCTATTGCACGAAACCAGGATAAGGGTTTAACCCAGGATTTTGATGTAAACCTGAATTAATTAAGCCTTGAATCGGTTGCACGAACTACGAAGCACTTATGTTTCCGTGGTAACAAGTGCTCTGAAACTAACCTGGTCCTGACCAGGTTTAAAGTGAAGCTTATTTAATCTGTTAATGTTTTTGAGCAGTAGACGGTCATTTTACTGCAGAAAAACGTTCCTCTAACCAAGCTTTACAGTCTTATATCAGCTAAAAAGTATTTTTGATCTTGTTTTTAGACTGACATACTAAACAAGATCAGAATATGTTGGATTATTAATCTTGTTAATCTGAAGTTGTTTTTTACTTCAAGAAGTCTTACCAAGTGCAACTGTCAAACCGCAGATTAATTCTTAATTTGAAAAGAATAAGTGTCTAATCTGGTACTTTTTACTTATTTTTAGATGGCTAATTTATGTAGTGTCTGATCAGAAATTAGTTCTTCATACAGTTATTAAATTTATTCTTTTTTCTTTGCATTAAAATATTACAGAGTAAATATATTTATTTAATTTATTTATCAGCTTGTCTTATTTTTTTTTCCAGAGCTGAGTATGAATGAGAGAGAGAGCATAACAGACAAACTGTGTATGGCAGAAGTAATGCTTCTTCAAACTCCTTGTAGTGCGTTCTGTCAGTACGATGCAAAGACAAAGCTGGAGAGTCTGTCGTCCAGCATCTCCATCAGCTCAGCTGACCTGTTTGGAGATGAAGCCGACCACAAAGKTAGGAACACCTCATWTATTTAACAGGATCTACTTTCTGCAGCGGATTGATACTGCTGATGTTTAAGGCTGAATCTGAAGGAAGTTACTCCMTTCCTCTCACATCCCGAGATCCTGAGCTGAAACAGGTTTGTTTTACCTCTCCTCTTCCTCGGGCTCAGGCTTCGACAGCGTGCTTCCTTCTGGACCGGACATGGCCCGGTTCAAACAGGGGGTGAAGGCCAGTCTATGGTGAAGACCGTCGCAGGAAATATGGCCGTCCTGGCCAATGGTGTGATGAACACCATTCAGGTGAGACACCTGTGAGTCTGATGGGTTCGTCTCAGAGTTCAGAGTGTAGAAGAGGAGGAGCCCCCAGGATGACCTGACCTGGCTCTAAATATAAACTGGGTCCACTCTATAGGCTCAGCAGGAAGTCATGATGTTTACTAGGGTTGGGCATAATCGTATCATGTGCAGTTAATCATCAGAAAAACATGAATCGATAGTTTTTTTGGAACTACGATTAATAAGATTAACACCACCAGAGTCCGCTTGGTGCTCCTCTCTGCTTCAAATATGACAAACTTTAAAAAAATGTTCTGTAATTTATTTATCAACACAATTTAAAATTTGATGTATAGCCTGAAGTTTGTAATTTTGACACAATTTGGAACAGATTTTTACAGAGAGCAAATCTTTCCCACTTAATTGGTCATGGGACTAGGACAGTGTTTCCCAAAGTTGGGGTCGGGACCCAAAGTGGGGTCCCGAAACATCAAGATGGGGTCCGGAAAATTTTTTCTGAATTAATTACATTTTTGCCTTAGTTGTTATAAAGGAGTGAGGTTGGTGTATTTAAAACGGATAAATGTAGTATAAAAATATTGTTACTATGCCCATGTTTAGTTGACCTGATACAAATGTGTATCTTACAAAAATAGCTGGGGCTACAGGTCTCTGCTACTATTTTGTGGGTCAAAAGCTGAAAGGTTTGAGAACCACTGCTGCACTTTGGTTCCCAAAGTTGGGCTTGGGACCCAATTATGGGTCACGAAGCAC